TTTTTTGGATCGAACTCTCTTAAATCCCTTTTCTTCAGTAATTGAAATGTGTAAATATATATATCTATTCGCTTTCAATTAACTTGATAACTTCGAGTATAAACTGTTTATGATCGTAGGAATAATTATAATGTTTGGCAATTCTGCTAAATACTGTCTTACGGAAAAAATGTAGTCCTATATACCCAGGACGGATCGCTACGAGGCCTGACCCAAACTCATCGAACCGAAGCCGTTTGGCTTGGTACATGATTATCCACACCCTTAAATGAAAGAAAAGAAAAGAATATGACATAACATAACATAAATATAAAAAGAGGCATCGGATATTAGTTTTGAATAGTCAATACATGTCAGAATTAGTAATGATACCAAAGAATGTTAAGACGATCGACTTCCTCCAACGGCCATAACGACTGGTATCATAGCAATAGTTTCGCCACCAAAAGTTGTAATTACGCTCGCCAATGCACGACTGATAACAGGAGCTAAATATGCAACTCCAGCGCACATAGCTACAGTAGCTGCACCAATAAAGAAAATGCCGACAGCATATTTCAAATATTGAGCATTGCCTCGTGCCGCTATTCGTACGACAGCATTTTCATTTGGCTCCAGTTCTTCGATGTAGACTCGTAGCTGACTGCTAATCATTGATGCTTCTGATACTTGTTGATAGGCCGTTCGTGGATCATTTGAAATATTCTCTGTAATTTGGAGCTGCTGTTCAAGCAATGTATTAGTTGTTAGATCGTCTCTTGTTCTTGCATTGTCTATTACAGCGTCTCTTAGTACATGGATATTTCGCTGAAGTTCTGTCATAGTTCTCGAGCATATATTTAAAAGATTGTTTACTAGTCTTCCTCCTTCGACGTTGATTACTTCAGTAGCCTCTTGTGACAGATTTTCGTTTGCAAGAGATCGACATATTCTACCTACACTTCTGCAAGAATCTACAGAATCAATAATAGTGTCGCAGTCAGCTCTTGAATGATTATCAATTCTTTCTACTAAAGAATCATTATGAACCAATGTTCGTAAAGTAGGTTGTAACTCCTCATAATCAGTCATCACTGCTTGAATTGAACTTAATTGCCGAGTCGGCAAGTTACTGTTCAGCAGTTCTCGTGCCAAATTGTCAACTTGTTCATCGTCGTTCTCTTGCGTAACACTATAGTTGCTACGAGGGACATATAAAAAAGCCATAATTCTTTGATGAATTTATTTGTCCGATATTAAAAATTAAATATCTGAAACATGTATATAATTATATATATATGGTATGTAAAAAAATTATTCGTACACTTTTCGTTTTCTTTTTACTGTATCTTTATTCTGCATGAAAATATTTCCATTCATAGCTCATTCGATAGAGAAAACAATTCTCTATGCACTGGTATGCTTTAAAACGGTAAACAATAGTGTCAAAACTCCTAC